CAAATTGCTAACATGTGCTGGATTATGGAGAAAGCCAGAGAGTTCCAGAAAAACATCTACTTCTGCTTCATTTACACAAAAGCCTTTGAATGTGTGGACCACAGCAAACTATGGCAAGTCCTTAAAGAAATGGGAGTGCCTGACCAGCCTATCTACCTCCTGAGAAATCTATATGTGGGACAGGAAGCAACAGTTAAAACTAGATATGGAACAATTGATTGGTTCAAAATTGGGAAAGAAGTACGACAAGGTTGTATATTGTCTCCCTGCTTATTTAACTTATATGCAGAATACATCATGTGAATGGACTGGATGAATCTGAAACCGGAATTAAGATTGCAGGAAGAAATATCAACAATCACCTCCTGGCAAATAGAAGGGGAAGATATGGAGGCAGTGAGAGATTTTACTTTCTTGGGCTCCATGATCACTGCAGATGGTGACAGCAGCCACGAAATTAAAAGAAGCCTGCTTCTTTGGAGGAAAGCAATGACAAAACTAGACAACATCTTAAAAAGCAGAGACATCACCTTGCCAACAAAAGTCCGCATAGTCAAAGCTGTGGTTTTTCCTGTAGTGATGTATGGAAGTGAGAGCTGGACCATGAAGAAAGCTGACCACCGAAAAATTGGTGTCTTTGAATTGTGGTGCTGGAGCAGTCTCTTGAGTCCCCTGGACTGCAAGGAGAACAAATCTATCAAATCTGAAGGAAATCAAGCCTGAGTCCTCACTGGAAAGACAGATACTGAAGCTGAGGCTCCAATACTTTGGCCGTCTCATGAGAAGAGAGGACTCCCTGGAAAAGACCCTTATGCTGGGAAAGTATGAGGGCAAGAGGAGAAGTGGATGACAGAGGATGAGATGACTGGATAGCGTCACCAAAGCTACCAACATGAATTTGACCCAACTCCGGGAGGCAGTGGAAGACAGGAGGGCCTGGCGTGCTCTGGTCCATGGGTTCACGAAGAGTCGGACACAATTAAATGACTAAACAACAACAACCCTTCTTGGATTCCTTTTCTTGTTAGTATCTCCTGCCTTGGGATCTTACTTATCCTTGTTCTGAGATTATTAAAATTGGCTTTTTTAAAATGCAGCAGACACTCTGCTTTGGTTTCCTTTGAAATCAAGAATTCTAGAAGGACATGGTCACTCTCACCTAGAATTCCCCTTACTCCCACCTCCCTCTCCAAGTCTCATCTCTTTTGGTCAGAATCAAGTCAAGGATAGCAAATCCTCTAGTTTCTTTCTCCACTTTTTGTAGGAGGTAATTATCAGCCACACAAGCGAGGAATTTCTTGGAAGGGCCATACTTGACAGATTTTGCCTCCCAACATATATCCAGATAACTGAAATCTCTCATCACTACTACATAATTTCTCTTTGAAAACACTACAGTTTGTTTTTCAAAAGCTTCATCCGCTTCTTCTCTTTGATTGGGCTGTCAGTAGTAGACTCCAACTACCAAGTTCCTTTTGGTTTTTTTGCCCCAACTAGATTGATCCAGATGCTCTTGATGGGACAGCCACCCTCCTTCTCCTATCTTTCTGTGCAGGAATGTGTAAATTTGACATATACTGCAATTCCACCTCCCTTTTTATTCTCTCTGTTCTTTTTGATCAGGTTATACCCCTCAATTGCTGTATTTCAGTCATGGGAGTCATCCCACCAACTTTCACTTATTCCTACCAAGTCATACATCCCCTCCTGAATTAAAACTTCCAGTTCTTCTTTTATGTTTCCCATACTCCTGGCATTCATATACAGTCATCAGAGGGTGTGTGATTTGTGGCCTGTTTGTCTTTGTACATTTCTATGATGATTATGATTATTGTTTATTGTTATGTTTATTACTGTGATTATTATTGTTCATGTTATTATTGTTGCACTTTTGATCAGTCTGGCCCATTCCTCTTATTGTGCGTAAGGTTTCATGTAACCTTAACTCTGTGCTTGCGTCTCCCTCCCCCTTCCAATTCAGTTTAAAGCCTTTCTGTTGAAGTTCTTCATTCTGTGGGCAAACACATTATTTCCAGTCCTTTATTAGATGCAAGCCGTCTCTTGCTAGCAGTCCTTCTTGTAGTAAGCTTAGCCTGTGGTCCCAAAAACCAAATCCCTGTCATCAGCACCACTTTTGTAGCCAGTCATTCACCCAGAGGATCTTCCTTTCTGTTTTGATTCCTATTCTGAGCACTGGTAGGATGGAAGAAAAATCTATCTGGGCCCCAAAGTCCTTGAATTTCCTTCCCAGAGCTTCAAAGTCAGATGTGATTTCTCGGTAGCTCCTCATGGCTGTGTTGTTTGTTCTCACATGGACAAGAAGAAAGGGATATCTATCTGTACATTTTATGAGTGATGGCAATCCTTCCATCACATTCCTTATCGGTCTTCCAGGGAGACAGCATACCTGGTGAGTCCATGGATCCTCCTGGCAAATTTTGGTCTCAATTCCATGTAGCAGGGAGTCCCCTACTACAGATATTCTCTTCTTCTTTTTTTAGGGTGTAGGTTCAGCGACTGCATTCCGCTGCACTTCAGCCCTACTCATGTCCTCCTATGGGGTTTCTTCTGCGTCCTGTCCGACAGACTCTTCTTCAAGTAACTGAAAGCAGTTTTGTAGTTCCACTAGGAAAGAGTGTCTTCTCCTTCTTTTCCTCCTAACTGTGATTCTTTTCTGTGGTGGTTCCTCCACTGTGTTTGTAGCCTCTAGAGCATTTTCCTCCACTGTAGTGTTTTGGTTTTCTTCCATCAGCAGTGCCCCCTCTGGCAGCTGCTACTGCTCAATAGTTCTATCAATGTAGACTTCATCTTCCCTTATAGCCTTGAGTGTGGTTACTCGCTGCTCCAGGTCTCTGACTTTCTCTTCTATCAGTGCCACCAGTTTACACTTGTTACTTATATATAGCATTTTGCACTCAGGAACAAAGACAAATATAGCACACACTTTGCAGATGACTACTACTGAGTTATCTCCACACTCCATAATCCCTTCTAGCTTTTTTACTTTCAACTGTTTGTTTAGGATACCTGTCCCTCTTGTTTTGGGAGTTGTACATATATCCAAGGAACTAAAAAAATTGTTAGGGGCCTCCCACGGTGAGCTCCCTGGGTCTGCCTTTAGCTTTATTTGTCAGCTGTGCTCTGCCTGGAGCCAGGAATCAAAAGGCCCTCCCAGAACTCACAGCTGCTACTTATAGCCTTCAGCAGCAATCAGAACACTTCCCTGTCTGCTAGGCCAATCACACAGATCTTCCTGTTAAGGACACACCCCTTCCTGTTCTACTGAGCACATGGCTCTTTAAGTAGAGTATGTGGTGCTTCTGTCTGGGCAATTCCTAGGGGTTATTTAAGGCCCTTTCTTGGTGTTACTTTAGAGAAAAATCCACTTACCTCTCTGTCTTGGTCTCCGTCCTATCTCTCCTGTGGCAAACTCCCTGTTTGCTCTTCTGTTCGTGAGCTCTGGTGGCGAGCTCCCTGGGTCTGCCTTTAGCTTTATTTGTCAGCTGTGCTCTGCGGAGAGTCAGGAATAAAAAAAAGGGGAGGGGTATTGTTACGGATATTGTTAATTTCCAATCAATGTATGAAAAATCTACAATACATTCTTATTCTTCAGCAGCAGTTGATAACTGTTAACCAGATGTTTACATATGCAAGGCAGAATGGTCACTGTCTCCCAAACATGGTCCTATGCACTTCTCAATACCTTCACTTCTTCATGCCTTTGTGCAAACTATAGTGGTTGCTAATATTCATGAGTGTAAACAGAGCCTGCAGCAACTCCAACATGCATCTACTGTATGTACAGTATGTATGCTATGTGTGCTATGTGTTGTGCTGTTCCTTCTACAGGCGACTCAACAACAATGAATTTGCTGTGTTGGAGGCTACAGGGATTTTTAAGAAGCTTCCTCAGTTGCGTAAAATGTAAGTGTCATCCTGTAATAAGTACCTTGTCAGGAGACAAAAACTATGGATATTCCCACTTCCTGGAGAATATTAACACGGGTTATCTAGATGGTGATTTTTTTTTTTTTTGCCACTGTTCTGATCATGTTTTCTTTTATCTCTACTAAATAATGCCACACTGCATGTGGGCAGTGAAGAAGAGATACTCATCATTAGCAAAGCTATGTGTCCATATATTCGTGTGCAAAGTTTCAGTTTCAATCCCTGATATTTTCAGCTGAAAGTACTTTATATACATAGGACTTGGGAAAGCCTTTGCTGAGAGCCCTTATGGTTATAGCCAGTCAGAGTTGTTGATGGTACCAGCCTAGATAAGGTCAGTTATCTGACAGTGTAAGACACCTTCAAATGTCCAAATAGGAAGAAGTGATGGCAAAAAATTTTTAAGAATTTCATAGTGAAGATATAAAGTATCATTTAAATTTCTCATACAGTAGCAATTTTTTTTACCCATAATTTATTTCCAAGATTTCCCTGTTAATTCACCTTGTTTGTTTGTTTGTTTGTTTTTACCTTGTCTTTCTCCTTGAAAAAGACCCAGGGTGGCTTACAATAATGAAAGACAATATTTAGAGGTGAAAACAATGAGTATACTACAGTGGTTAACATCATAAAATTATGATATTTAAAAATTATGAACAATGAATAAGGAGGCATCTTGCATCAATTAACAGGCAAAGATCAACAAGCATAATTTTTTTTAAAAAACTGTCACTCTGAGAAATTGAGAACACAAAAATGGAAAACACAAGTAGTACTAACAATCCAGTCAAAGCAGTAATGCATAAATAAAGTTTATCTAAAAATCACACACAGGTAGCTGGTCACTGAAGGAAGGGTTGCCTGAAGAGAGAGGTCTTTGCCTGCTTGCAGAAGGATAGCAGAGATCTGACCTCTAGTGGGAGGGAGTTCCAAAGTCTGGGTGCAGCAACCTTGGCTCATTGTGTATTGATTCCCAGTGTAGTATATTGGATAGAGTGACAGACTAGGACTCTGCAGAACAGAGTTCAAATCCCCACTCAGCCATGGAAACTCACTGGGGGAGTAGAACTGGTAAAACCACTCAAATATCTTACTTACCTTAAAAGCCCTATTAAGCAGTAGTTCTCAAATGTTTTCAACTCGCAGCTCCCTTGACTTACTGGCCACTGATTGTGGCTCCTCAGTACAGTAGAACTACTATGTGTATGGGATCAGAACCCACAGTTTTACTTATCCACTGCCTGGAAAAAAATAAATTGAATTAAAAACCATATGACTACGCCTTCCCAAGGTGCATTACCAGGACCAGCCATAGATGGAATCAGAGACTATACTAGATACAGAAAGCTTAATGGAAATACACTCATGACCTGATTTCTCCAATGGAGGCAGCTTCTGGAAAAACGGAGAAGCTGTATTTTTTGCAGAGATGGGGCAGGGAAGGTTCCCTTGAGAACGGGAGGGCAGGAAACCCAGTTCTTTAGTAAGACTGGGCCCGGGTTCCCTCTCTGCACTATGCATAAACACCAGAGAAACGGCAAGTAAGTGCTGTAATATACTTTGGGAGAAGGAGGGGAAAAGATGAGAGGATCCCATGGCACCCCTGGCTGGGTTTCCCCGTGCCCTATGTCGCTGTGGCGCACAGTTTGGGAATTACAGTACTGCCTATTAGGGTTGCTGTAAGTTGGTTCTGATTTGACAGCACAGCGCATGCGCGCGCACACACGCACGCAGGCACGCACGCACGCACACACACATACACATTTTGTGTTGCAACACCAAACTTAAGCAGTTTCAGAAAGCAGTTCCTGGAAAATGTGACACTAAGCAACAATAAAGTGTTGCTATGAGCTTAACAAATCAGATTGACCCTGTTTGCTCAGCCAGGGGAGATCCCTGGTTTAGCCTCTGTGAGAGGTTTTTTCACACTTCAGCCCTCCTACTTAATTGTTCATCTTGGATAGCGCTAACAAGTCTCCTTTGATAGCATATGTTGATGCAGTTAGCTCTGCTGGGGGAGGTGGATATAGTATTTTCCAAAAGCAAGGTGGCAACAGTTCCCTGTCATAAAAGAATACTGACAATGCCGATAATGGGACAGTGAATCAAGTATTTTAAAACATTGCATTTTATTCCTTACATTGTTGTTTTTCCTCTGTTCTTCCTAGAATCCCTGTCTCAAATTCAAATGAATTTTAAAATGGTGATCAGAACTATCTTGCTTTTTTCTTTTTCAGTTTTACACCAAAATTTAGTCATTACTTTGACTTTGCATGTTTTATTATATTGATCAGTAAGTAACAAATTGGTTATGTTCCTAACATTTTAATTCCCTTTGTTATGAATGGACACTAGAAATCTGAGCAATAATAAAATAACAGATATTGAAGAAGGAGCATTTGAAGGTGCATCTGGTGTAAATGAGCTCTTGCTCACCAGTAATCGGTTGGAGAATATTCGGCATAAAATGTTCAAAGGATTAGAAAGTCTCAAAACCTTGTAAGTCTGTTATTTTTACCTACTTCCTAAAACTTATTTTACTTCTTACCTTGAACATTTTTTGTATTTAAAGACCAAACTCTTGAACGTGGTTTAATGCTTTATTTTAAATATATAATGGAATACATAATCATACATATATTTATATTTTTAAAATGTCTGACATTTGTAGTTCAGAGAATTTGGATAAGATTTGGTAGCACAGAAAAATTCAGAAATGTCTGATAGAAGTGAAATGTAACCCAGATTTTAGGATATATCTTTAATAAAAATATGGACCTGCAGTTTTTGTTTATTACTTCAGTGGGGCAGCAGCTTTCTTTGGCAATATGCCTATCACTTTTTTTAATCTCATCATTCCCTTACAATATCTCTCTAGTTATTAACTGGCTATTCTAAATCCATGGAACAGCCCAGTTTATGACTAATATTGCTCAATAGAGACTGAGGGTGAAATTGGATGGAGAAATACAGTAGCTCATGTTTTGGAAGAGTTGTAGCATGGTCCAGTGCAAGCTGTTTTCCCTCAGAGATGACATAGAGCAGATCACAAATCAACCCAAATTTGCTCTCTGCATAAGTTGGACCTTTTTGGTCCAGTGGCAGGACTACTCTTTTTTGTAGCTGGGCTAAAGTGATTACTGTTGGTACAGAAGGGATGCTTTAAAGGAGAAGACTTCCGGTGAAGAAACCCTTTCCAGTGCAGTCAGACCTGCTCCATTATTGCTATCTGATTGCACCCTGAGCTGTGAAATCAGAGGTATTTTAGAAGTTGAAATTTTGCCTCTGCTACATACGCTACATATATATGTTTATGACAGAGGTGAGCAACATGTCACCTTTAGACCACATGAGCCCCTCCATGGGCCCACTGCACACCCTCAAGTTTCTTTTGCCTCTTCAGTTCCCCCAAAGTGATTGGACAGTCATTGATTCCAAGAGCTTTTCAGACCTGAAACAACCTTGTCCCTTTACTTCTGGGGGTTGATTTGAATCTTTTTCTCCAAAATATGGAGTGGGGGAGTCAGAGCGGTTGTACAGCTCCGCAGAATCCAGAGGAGAGCAAAAATGGCCCCCACGCCTGGTCCTAATGCAAGCTGGTTTTCCTCAGCTCCCTCACCCTCCCATCCTCAAAATCTGTAATATGGAGATAATCATATTGACCTGCTGTATAGGATTGTTCTATGCACAATTGGCCCCAAAAGCTTCTGAGAAAAGAACTTTGTGGAGCAGTCATTTGTGCATGATCTCTGCACTTTGAAGAATGGGGACCTGATATCCAATCAACAGCTTCCTTCCTTAGCCATAACTTTAAAGCCACAAGTCTAATGCAGCCTGCATCTTTGGGACTCTCAAGTTATTCGAACTGGTGACAAGACACTGGTGCAAGCCTGAAGAAGAGGACTTTCTGATCCATGAAAGCTAGTAGATTGTGTGGTTTCTTTAGTGATGTGTAAAGGTATTGCCTATTCCTGCATTTTTTTCTTACAATATATCTTAACCTGATACAAGAGTGAGGATGGGCACATGCCTCGTGGCGCAGTGGTTAAAACGCTGTACTGCAGCTAAAACTGTGCTCACGACCTGGGGTTCAAATCCCAGGTAGCTGGCTCAAGGTTGACTCAGCCTTCCATCCTTCCGAGGTCGGTAAAATGAGTACCCAGCTTGCTGGGGGGGGGCAATGTGTAGCCTGTATAATTAAAAATTGTAAACCGCCCGGAGAGTGCTTGTAGCGCTATGGGGCGGTATATAAATCCAATAAAAAAAAACTGCAAAGAGCATGGATACTGTTGTTTTTGGATTGTAAAATGTGTGATTCTGTTCTTGCATTTCTGAAGCCCTCCACTTCACAGCTTGCAAACACAGTGGCAAAACTAGAGGGGTAACATTTCAGCTAGGGTATCCAGTATGGTAGAGTGGATAGAGTAACAGACTAGGACTCAGGAGACCAGTGTTTGAATCCTCACCTGGCTGTGGGGACATACACACACACACACACACACACACACACACACATTCACCTAACTCTGAAAAGATGGTAACGATAACATTAGGTTCACATCCTTATCTGTTCCATAATTCATGTATCACCACTGCAAAGGTATTTTTTTTCTTAGCAGTGAGGGCAGCCCAAGCTGTTCCATTGCCTTGGAGAGAAAGCTGACATATTCCACTGGAGGCAGCAGTTAGTGATGCCTCCACGCTATATTCCATGATCTTGGTAGAGAAAAATGACAACTCACCATCATGATTTCCACATTTACATTTATACCAGCATAAACCCCCAAAAGGATTCTGACTTATATTTGAAATGACTCTAAAACAGCATCAAGAGAAGTCAAAGTTTTATAGTTCAAGTGCTTGAACTGTAAAATCTGCTGTTGTAAATATATATTTTAAAAGGGATGTACACCCTTTTAATTTCAGGCCATTATATTTCTAACATATTGATAAGAGTGCCAAGGATAAGGGATTTTATGACATACAGTGGGGTCTTGACTTGAGAACTTAATCCGTATTGGAAGGCGGTTCTCAAGTCAAAAAGTCTGTAAGTCAAGTCTCCATTGACCTACAGTGCATTGAAAACCGATTAATCCCGTAACAGGCCGTTTTTGTTCCATTTTGGTTTTTTTCTGGTCTGTAAGTCAAATCTCAGTCTGCAAGTCAAACCTAAATTTTACAGCCAGAGAAGTCTGTAAGTCAAGCCCTCTGTAAGTTAAGTCGTCTATAAGTCCAGGGTCCACTGTATATGTTTCCCCAACACGCCCCCCCCTTCCATCACTGTCAGTTCTGGCCTAGCTTCTGTCACCAGGGATATGGTGGCATATCATGGTATTTTGCCACTGTATTTTCACTGTTGAAGGTACATCTCAAAATATTCTATCATAGATTAATCCATCAAACTCTGTATCTCTCCAGTCATCATATTTGAAATTTACATTTCTATCCGTACTTTGTAATTGTTGCTGAAATGCTAAATTGAAAGTATTTGTAAATGCAGTATTTTCAGTTGCATTCTACTGCAGTGTTTTTGTGAGGTGAATCTGTAGCATTTATCTTCCCCTGTGACTTTTTTGTTTTATTCTGTTCATTCCATGAGTACTCTAGCAAAGTTAATATTCATGAAAGAAAATACAGCTACCACTTTTGGAACTGCTGATAGCAATTTTAAAAGAGGGAGTTACACATAGGAATGTAGACGTTGACTTGCTAATTGCTGAGAATAAAGGTTTGTCAACTTCACATGTCCAGAAACTGCCAAAAAAAAGTAGGCAGGAAGTGTGTGAAGTGTTCTTTGAAGGCTATCAAACTAACTTGTTCATGCTTTTTTAACAGAATGCTGAGGAGCAATCGCATTAGCTGTGTGAGCAATGATAGTTTTACTGGCCTGAGTTCTGTCCGATTGCTCTCCTTGTATGACAACCAAATAACTACAATTGTTCCTGGTGCCTTTGACACTCTTCATTCCCTGTCCACACTGTGAGTTGATCTTGAATCTGTCTTTTATACAAATGTTTTCTGTCTTTAGATAGATCAAATGAAATAGTACTGTGAACATAAACATACCACTAATAAACAGAAAACACACAGGCATGTTTTTAAAGTGATATATGTTATAGTTTCCACAGAATGCTAAACATCAAATTACAAATGAAAAAAATAGGGGGATATATTGTCAATTTCTGCTAAATATTAGCTGTGCACATTTCCTCTAAAGGGCTCTATTCATTCTGTCTAACTTATTCCTAAAAATGAATTCATATGATAAGTGTTAGCATGTGAACCAGTCCCTCCCCAGGTACAGCTTCTTGGCAATGATGATTTCCCTTGATCTAGGGTGTTGCTGCAGATGCAGTGTGTTACAACAATAGCAACATAACAGTAACACACACGGTCCATGGTCCTCCCTGAGAAGATAGACTCCAGCAACAGAAAAGGCCTTAAGATTTGATCCAAAAAAATCAAAAGGAATTTGGAGATACATCTCCATGGAGTTTCTTTCTTTGTGCACTTCACCATTCACTGGGGGCCACGGCCATACACTATGCACAGTGAAGTGTGGGTTCTTAGCTGCATCTGCAGGATTAAATAGAATATCATTCTGCAAATGAGAATTTGCCCATTTAGTCCCTAGCTCAGTGGAAATAAATGTGTGCTACTGAAAGTGTTCTTCAGCCTTAGGAACTAGAGAAGGTTGGTTGATGGGCTGATAGATCAGCCAGTCGTTTGGTTGGTTGGTTGGTCAGTCAGTTTAAAAGGGAAGCAGTGATATTCTGTCATGCAGCTGTTTCCCACTCCAACCCAGTCAGAAGACAAGAAAATGTATTTGTCTATGTGAATCCCCATACATAAATCAAAATGTCTTTTTCCCCTCTTCATTCCCCTCTATATTCTGCTGGTGTTTGGTGAACATGAAAAGCTGTGTGACTGGCCTAACAGAAAGGGAAATGTCCTGATTACAGCTGAGAGCTATAAGTACAGTGGACCCTTGACTTAAGGAATTAATCCGTATTGGAACGGTGGCTGCAGGTCAAAAAGTCTGTAGGTCAAGTCTCCATTGACCTATAGTGCATTGAAAACTGATTAATCCTGTAACAGGCCGTTTTTGTTCCATTTTGGTTTTTTTCTGGTCTGTAAGTCAATTCTCAGGCTGCAAGTCAAACCTAAATTTTGTGGCCAGAGAAGTCTGTAACTCAAAAAGTCTGTAAGTCAAGCCGTCTGTAAGTCAAGGGTCCACTGTAGCAGCTGTGAGTTCTAGGAGGGCCTTTTGATTTCTGACTCTGAACAGAGCACAGCTGAGGAATAAAGCTGAGGCAGACCCAGGGAGCTCATGAACAGAGTGAGCAAATAGGAGTTTTTCATGGGGAGTTCCATGGAGAAGGCCAAGGGGGAGACACGTAACAAACATTTTTCATTTCTTGGGATATAGTTGTACATTTGTAGATGCTTCCAGCTACAGTCAGGATAACAAAATAAAAGGGACAGGCATTTATAAAAAATCAGTTGAAAGCAAAAGCTAGCAGGGATTATGGAGGTTGGAGACAATTCAGTTATAATAACCTGCAAAGTTCGTGCTATCTTTGTCTTTTTTCCTGAGTGTAACACAGCGTACATGTGTAACATGTGCAAACTAGTGGCACTGTTAGAAGAAAAAGTGAGAGAACTGGAGCAGCAAGTGCCCACACTCAAAACTATAAGGGAAGATGAAGCATAGATAGAACTCTTGAAGAGAAGCAGCTGTCACAGGGGGCACTGGAGATGGAAGAAAACCAAAGCAAAGCACTGGAGGAGAGTCCTGAGAAGAGTACCAACATAGTGGAGGACCCAACATGGAAAAGAGTCACAGTTAGGATCAAAAGAAGGAGAAGAAACTCTTCACCAGTGGAACTGAAAAACCGCTTTCAGACTCTTGAAGAGGAGTCTGCTGAACAATATGCAGAGGAGAGCCCACAGGAGATTAGAAGGGCTAAAGCACAACAAAAGACAGTTACTAAACCTGCATCCTACAAAAAGAAGAAGAGAAGAGTAGCCGTAGTAGGAGGCTCTCTACTGCGTGGAATTGAGACTGAAATATGGCAGGACTTGCCAGGTATGCTGTCTACCTGAAGGTCAGATAAGAGATGTGGCAGATAAGAGATGTGTACCATCACTCATAAAACCCACAGATATATATCCCTTTTTTCTTGTCCATGTGGGAACAAATGACACAGCCAAGAAGAGCTTTGAGGAAATCTCATCAGACTTCGAAGCTCTGGGAAAGACAGAGGAAATTCAAGGACTCTGAGGCCAAGATAGTTTGTCATCCATTCTACCAGTACTAGAAAAGGGAAAGGGAAATACTCCAGGTGAATGACTGGCTACAAAGGTGGTGTCAACATGAGAGATTTGGTTTCTGTCACCACAGGCTAAGCTTCTTGGAAGAAGGACTTCTAGCAAGAGATGGCTTGCATTTAACAAGGACTGGGAAGAATGAGTTTGGCTACAGCATGAAGAATTACGACAGGAGGGCTTTAAACTGAATTGGAAGGGGGAAGCCAATTGTGGATACACAATTGGCTACAGAATCGTACTCAGAGGGTGATGCTTCTCCAACTGGGAAGAGGTAACAAGTGGGTTACCCCAAGGCTCAGTCCTGGGTCTGGTGCTTTTCAACATTTTACTTAATGACTCAGATGAGGGAGTGCAGGAAATGATTGTCAGATTTGCAGATGACACAAAACTGGGTGGAATAGCTAATACTCTAGCACAGTGGTCCTCAACCTTGGGCCTTCAGATGTTCTTGGACTTCAGCTCCCAGAAATCCTGTCCAGCAGAGGTGGTGGTGAAGGCTTCTGGGACTTGCAGTCCAAGAACATCTGGAGACCCAAGATTGGGGACCACTGCTCTAGAAGACAGAAACTAAATTCAAGATGATCTTGATTGGCTGTAGCAGTGGACTGAAAACAATAGAATGAAATTCAACAAGGATACGTGCAAAGTACTGCATCTCTGAAAAAGAAACCAAATGCACAGTTCCAAGCTGGGGGATATCTGGCTCAGCAATACTACAAGCAGGAGGATCTTGAAATTTTCGTAGATCACAAGGTGAATACGAGCCAACAGTGTGATGTGGCTACAAAAATGGCTAATACTATTTTAGGTTGCATTAATAGAAGTATAGTTTCCAAATCCCGTGAAGTGCTAGTGCCCCTCTATTCAGCACTCATTAGCCCCCCCTTGAGGATTGTGTCCAGTTCTGGACACCACAGTTCAAGAAGAATGCAGACAAAATGGAACAATTTCATAGAAGGGCCACAAAGATGATAAGGGGACTGGAAACCAAGTGCTATGAGGAAAGACTGAAAGAACGGGGCATGTTTTGCCTTGAGAAGAGAAGTCGGAGGGGTGATATGATAACATTTTTCAAAGGTTTTCATTTGAAAGGCTGTCAAACAGAAGAGGGGCAGGATCTGTTCTTGTTCATCCCAGGGTGCAGGACAAATAACAATGGGCTCAAGTTACAGGAAGCCAGATTTCAGTTGAATATCAGGAAAAACGTACTAACTGTTAGAGCAGTACAACAGTGGTATTAGTTACCCTGGGAGTTGGTGAGTGCTCAAACACTGGAGGCATTCAAGAGAAACCTAGACAACCACCTGGCCAATATCTTTTGATTTGTATCCCTGTATCGAGCAGGGGGCTGGACATGATGGCCTTTTAGGCCCCTTTGAACATTAACTTGTAAATCAAAGTAGAGGTGTGTTCCTGTGTGCCACCAATGACCCTATTTTCTATATATTTTTCCCATTATTTCCAGATCAGTCACTTCATTTGTCCTTAGTCAACAAGAAAATACAGCTCAAGAAAAAAATAGTTGTTTAACTGTAGTATAATCACCGTTCTTAAGTCGAAGCATGAGTTCCCATAGTAACTAATGCAAAGCTGGTTAATCCGTACTCTACCACTAGGGGGAGTTTTTTTATTTTTTTCTTCTTTTGACCTAAGATGAACGTAGGTAAAAAAATGGCAGGAAAGGAGGGGGGGGAGGAGGGAACATCTTCTAAACAGAACACCTTGAAAAACAAGCAGCTTTTAAACAAAACCAAGCCAAGCACCTTCTAGGTAAAAAAAGGGCAGGAAAGGAGGGAACACCCTTTAAACACAACACCTTGAAAAGCACCTTTTCAACCAGGCCAAGCACCTTTTAAAGCATGCACCTTTTAGGGAGGAAGGGAGGGAGGGAACAATGGGGAAAAGAGGAAAGGAAGAAAGAAGGTCATCACTGGAGCACACAGACCCCTCAGAGAAAGGTTTGTGCTTTTTAGCACAAAAAGAGAGAAGACAGAGAGAGAGAGAAGACAATTGGGAGAGAGAATTGGAGGCTAAAACACATTTTAAACCAACACATTTTAACAACAATATTTTTAAACTAAGCAACTTTTAAACAAAACACGAAACAAGCAACTTTTAAACCAACCCACCCACCAACACCTTTTAAAACAAAACAGAGGTGACTCAGCTTTCGGTGTCTTCTGGAGGACATCACAGTGACTTCTGGCTGGAGGATGACGAAATGGTCATCACTGCGAGGTAGAGGTCTCCTTCTCTGGGTCATCTTCTCCAGGGGTTCCCTGTTGCTGTCTCTTGGCAGCAGGCTCCATCCGGGGGGGGATCTGTCCAGTATTGTCTGTTTCATCCTGCGCTGAATAATTCTTTCTTTGGAGCCATGACTATGTACGTACTGTTCAGCACACCACAGTACAGTGGACCCTGGACTTAACGGAATTAATCCATATTGGAACGGTGGCTGCAGGTCGAAAAGTCTGTAGGTCGAGGCTCCATGGACCTACAATGCATTGAAAACCGATTAATCTGTAACTGGCCGTTTTTGTTCCATTTTGGATTTTTTTCTGGTCTGTAGGTCAATTCTCTGGCTGCAATTTTGTGGCCAGAGAAGTCTGTAACTCGAAAAGTCTGTAAGTGGAGCCGTATGTAAGTCG